TCCATATATTGTCTTTAATTAAATATTACGATAATTAGATGACTGCTTTCGCAAAGGACTGGATATAAAGTAACCAAGTTAATTAATTGTTCATCTTCTGAATCTGATAAATTCACCTTTTCTTGCAAATTTACTTGTACTTAAATTCATGTAGGTATTATCGCTGCGGCGGATGCATCACTACTAGTCTGACACTACGGCGCGGCGGGGCGACACTGCCGCGCAGTAGTGCTGCCGCTGCATTACTGCCGCGGCATTGCTGCGGAACTCGGAATGTAATCTCATATACCTAAACCTATAGAGAATATATGGGAACCAGTAGTGTTGCGGCAACACAGTTGCGGCAGCACTGCTGCGTGCAGCGGAGTTCGAAATCATACCTTTAAGATCATTATGTTTTTAAAACTTATGCAGCTAACATCATAACACAGATCATAATGAGTTTATTTAATGAGGTTACATTACATTTTTCAGAGACAAATAAAAGAAAGAGTAGCCTCATCGTATGTTAATCGTTATATAACCCTTCCACCTTTGAAATCACAAGATCTAGAAAGAAGTAATCAACTTACACCAAGAAAAAAAATGTATTATTTACTCCGTGTCTCCGTTTTTTTTACCACTAGCAAAACATTTAAAAATTATTTCCTTAAACAAATTAATTACAGTTACTTATTGGCCTTGAAACAGAACAATCTTTTTTTTATGTAAGATAAGGGTGACAAACGAGCACACAGTCCACCTGATGGTAAGTGGTTGGTTTGCCCATAAATATCTATATCTATCTTCGATTACGAAACAAAATGCAGATGTGATGTTGTTGTGAGGACTAAGATGGAATGCTTAGTTTCCAGCAAAAAGGGTGTCTGGTCGTCTACATTCACCATACGAAACTGCAGCGTTAAGCTGCTATTTTACGCTGGTATTCTGTGAGAATGTGTTATTTAACTGATTTCTACATGTTTCTTTACCTAAATTATTACGTTTACTTTTATGTTTAAGTTAGATGTTAAAATAAACTTCTATAATATATTTAGGTAATTATTTAATGCTTGTAATTATAAAAAGTAATATTTATATCAAAAATAAAGCAGGTATTATTCGTCATTTTTATTTCGTCAGCAAAACGTTTTATAAAATATATAAAATGTAAATAGGTATATACTTTACTAGGTATCTACTTATTTATATTTGATTAACATTATATTAAAACAGAAATTCCGGGGAAACTGTCCATGGCAGTAATAATATTTTTTTTAAAGGTCGAAAATACAACTTTCCGATTCGATTCTAGGGGAAAGTTGTTTACAGCTCTTTAGAGATTATTGGAATTTAGTACAATTTGAATTAAAATCCATCAAAAGGCAGGTAGTGGCTGTGAAAGAATATCCCATATCTACTATCCCATATCGTCCCATGGGTGTCGTGAGGCGACAGAGGGAAATTGAAACAGGTGATGTGCAGCAGCGTCTTCCTGATAACAACCCAAAAGAGAGCTACAGTTGTAGCACTAATGGGTCGGCTCGACCGGGGAAGGACTACGCTCTCACAGAATACCAGCGTAAAATGGCAGTTTAACACTGCTGTGTTTCGTATGGTGAGTGTAGAGATCCGGAGACCCTTTTTACTGGAATAGAGGCATTCTACCTTAGTCCTCACGGATGACAACGCATCTGCATTTTGATTCGCAAACGAGGATAGATGTAGATGTCTATGGGCCACAGCAACCACTTACCATCTGATGGACTGTGTGTTCGTTTGTCACCCTTATCCTATAAAAAAAAACTTCGGTCGATAACCGGAAAGCCAAGCGTGTCAACTATGGCAAAATCCGCCCTATGAGTCAATCAATCTATGGAAAGGCCTATGTTCAGGTGGACTTTTTTAGGTTGTGATGTATGATGGAAAAGGCAGGTAGGTGCAGCTTATTCCCGGGAACATGTTATTTGAATATTTTTTAATTATTTTAGAACTATCATGGTAAAAATTCATTTAATTTTTCTACCAACTTCAAAAAATAGATGGTACTCAATTCAACTATATGTTCTTTTTTTATGTGTGTTTCCTCATAACTTGTTTCTGGGTGAACCGATTGCGATGACTCTTTTTTTATTATTTGAAAGCTGGTGCTTCTCAAGTGGTTCCATATAAATTGATCAAGGTCTGACCAATCGTTTTTGAGCTATTCTTAATAATTTATATTGAAGTCGGATGTATAAATTTTTTAATTTTAAATTATTAATCACATAGTTTAATGCACGAAAGTTATTCAGTTTCGTACACTAAACTATATTCTTTTTTATATTACTACGGCAATCATTTTTCGATAGTCCTTTTAAGTAAAATGTACATCACTAGTTACCGCACACAATAACAAATCAAAATTTGTCACACGTTTTTGGGCTTTCAGGTGGTCTATCATCATCATCATCATCAGCCTGCGGCAGTCCATTGCTGGACATATGGCTCTCCCAAGGCGCGCCACTTAGCCCGATTTCCGGCTACACGCATCTAGTTTCTAACAGCCACCTTGCGCAGATTGTCACTGTATCTGTTCAGGGGGCGTCACACACTAGGTTTGCTTAGACGCGGTCTCCCCTCCATAGCACGTCTACTCCACCGGTTGTCACTCCTGCGACACAGACGTGGCCAGCTCATTGCCACTTCAGTTTACAAACACGGAAGACTATGTCAGTAATCGTGATGCTCCGGCGGATTTCTTCATTTGGAATTTTATCTACCAGAGAAACTCCGAGCATAGCTTTTTCCATCGCTCGCTGAGCGACTTTGAGCTTGTGGAGTAGCCGTATCGTCAGTGTCCACGTTTCGGCACCGTAAGTGAGTACGGGCAGGACGCACTGGTTGAAGACTTTTGTCTTCAGACTTTGTGGTATGAGTGACGAGAAAACCCGACGGAGCTTTCTAAATGCTGCCCAGCGTAACTAAACCCTCTGATCGGCTTCCTTCTCGAGGTTATTCTTACCCACTTGCAATATCTGCCCGAGGTAGTTATATTCCTGGACAACTTCGAGTATTTCACCATCAAATGTAATTGGAACTGGCGTGACGTGATCGTTGAACATAACTAACACAGATCAACGGGAAGATTTACTAAGTCTCTTCAGCATGTCCTGAAGTTCGTGCAGCGATTCTGCCATGACATCAGCAAAGCGTAAGTGTGTACTCACCGTTTATGTTAATGCCGCGTCCTTTCCAGCCTAGCGTCTTAAAACATCCTCTACTGCATTTGTAAACAGCTTAGGGGATATAACATCCCCCTGTTTCACTCCGCGATACAACTGGATTGATTTTGTTTGACTGCCCTCTACTTGGATGGACATCCTACTGGTGTTGTAAAGGAATCTCAGCACTTCTATGTACCGCCAGTGAATTTGTCACCACTGCAAAGAGTCCAGAACAGATAAGTTTCGATGGAGTCAAAGGCTTTCTCATAGTCCACAAATGCAAGACACAGGGGCTGATTAATCTCTGTTGTCTTCTGTATTATTTGCCGCACTGTGTGAATGTGTTCTATAGTGCCAAATCCTCCTCGAAATCCATCCTGTTCCACAGGCTGAAAGACGTTGAGTCTTTGCGCGAGTCGATTTGTAATGACCCTTGAAAACAACTTATAGACGTGGCTCAGAAGCGAGATGGGTCGATAATTTTTTAGAATAGTCTTTTCACCTTTCTTGTTTCACAACTCTTGCGTGCTTCTGCTCCACGCCTTTGGAGTTCTCCCATCTCGTAAGATGCAGTTAAAAACTCGGCATAGCTCTTTTAGCAAGGTTGACTTCCAGCCTTTAAGAGCTCTGTTGTAACTCTATCTTTTAAGTTGGACTAGGGCCAGCTCAATCTCCTCAAGGCAGATGTCTGGCAGCTGGTATAGTGGCGGTCTGGCAGCTCTGGGATCATCGCATTTAGAGTCAGGTTGTGGCTTATGTGAGGCATATAGTTTGCCATAATAGTCTTCGACCTCAGGCGAGTGAGGACTTTGCCATCATGCGCCTGCAGTCTTGCGATGTGACTTCTCCCAAGCTCCTGAGTTTTGACTGACTGACTTTGGACCTCTTGTTTCGCTCTACTGCCGCTTGTATCACAATTGCATTAGGGCAACGCAGGTCCCGCCTCACAGCTTTCCTCACAAGTTTGGTTAACGTCATCTGTTCCGATGGCGGTGCTGTTGTTAACTCACGCCTTCTTTTCATAAGCTGAAGTGTCTCATCTGAAAACTTCGATTTTCGGCCCATATGTTGCTTGCTACAAAAGCTGTTGCTGAGGGCAAGAATAGCAATAATAAATAAAATAGCAATAAAAATAGCAAGGGCTTAAGAATTTGATCACGCTGATAAGGTCCTCGTCATAATCCAACGTGGGTCTATACGCCAGTTTATTCTAAGTCAATGCATCAGCTCATACCCCGATTGCCATGTCGACTTGTCGCGTACTATACTCGTATTATGGATAATTATTACTTTATATATCTTATATCTTTATATATCAATAGCTGTTTACACGTGGTAGAGACATGCTGCAGCTATATTAATAGTAAAGTTGTGACACGAATGGGTCGACTCGACCAGGGAAGGACCACGCTCTCACAGAATACCAGCGTAAAATAGCAGCTTAACACTGCTGTGTTTCGTATGGTGAGTGTAGAGAACCGGACACCAATTTTAGTGGAAAAGAGGCATTCCATCTTAGTCATCACGGATGACAACGCATCTGCATTTTGATTCGCAAACGTGGATAGTTGTAGATGTCTATGGGCCACAACAACCACCTACCATCATGTGGACTGTGTGCTCGTTTGTCATCCTTATTTTATAAAAAAAAAAGCTGTGATTCTCATATATATGTACATATTATATTATGTTTATGTTGTAATCAAAATTATTTAAAAAGTATAAAAAAATGTTTGACAGCTGTAATCAAGAAGAAGTAAAACGTCATGATTTCGTAGTTACCGTCGCTTATGCTCGGCGATTTCTTAATTTATAATGCCGCATCAAACTCATCGACGTTCTAGTACCTCGTTAGTTTTACGACGACCCAGCACTCAACACAGTACGGATACAGCATCCCAACTTAACCTCCTTAAAGAAGAGACGCACACCGGCGACCACTTCCTTAGTCCTGCTCAGTTGGAGGTAGTATACAGAACTAATATAACTAATGGTCTCACTGAAAGTTTTGCTGCAGAATTGTTAAAAAATTATGGGCCGAATAAACTGAGAGAGTTAAAGGGCACGAGTTACTGGAAAATATTTCGCCGTAACCTTTTCGGTTGGTTTCAATGTGTTCTTTGGTGCGGTGCTATACTTAACTTTATCGGTTACTTCTTCTCCGACGTCATAGACGCTGAAACTGGCGGACATTCCGGTAACGAGTATTTGTATTTGGGTTGCGTTATAACAGCAACTATTGTTGGAACCGGCTTATTCGGCTTTTACCAAGAAGCAAAAAACATGGCAGTGATGAGTGGATTCGAGAAAATGGTCCCACCGGATGCGGTTGTAATTCGTGATGGATTAAAGAAAATAATACCTAATAGTGATGTAGTTATTGGTGATATAGTTGAGATGACAGGCGGTGAGATAGTTCCTGCTGATGTTCGTATTTTGAGCTGTACCAACTTTATGACTGATATGGCTTCTTTGACCGGCGAATCTGAAGCAATAAAGCATACTCCGGAGTGTACACATAGCAATCCATTGGAATCTAAAAACATGGCCTACTTCGGCTGTCCGATAATAGAAGGTTCTGCCAAAGGTGTCGTGGTAGCTACAGGTGAAATGACGCAAATTGGAAAAATTGCTGGACTGGTAACAGGGTTGGAAAAAGAAGAAACGCCTATAGCAAAAGAAATAACGCATTTTATAAAACTTGTTTGCGGTGTAGCTTTTACATTCGGTCTTATATTCTTTTTGATGGTCTATTTCGTCCAAGGTAGCTGGCTTTCTGCTATGCAATATATGTTGGGTATAATTTTAGCGAATGTGCCGGAAGGTTTGATAGTTACACTTACTGTCTGTATGACACTATCAGCTAAACAATTAAAGAAAAAGAACTGTCTAGCGAAAACTTTGCAAGCTGTCGAGACTTTAGGCTCAACATCATGTATCTGTTCGGATAAGACGGGTACTTTGACGGAAAATCGAATGACTGTTGCCCATCTATTCTGTAATTTCACAATTTATGATAATAATGATCATGTACACGTTTCTGAACTGCCTTATTCTGAATTATGTTTGGCTGCATCTCTTAACCTAAAAGCTGTTTTTGCTCATGATACTTTAGACTTGCCAATTGAAAAAAGAAAGATCTTAGGTGATGCATCAGAGTCGGCAATATTAAGATATATGGAGCTCAATCGCTCTGCTACACAAACACGTGAAATGAATCCCAAGGAAGCGGAAATACCTTTCAGTTCCGCATATAAATATCAAGTCACTATTCATCGTATGCAGGCAACTCAGAGTTATTATTTGATTATGAAAGGGGCTCCTGAGATAGTAGTTGAGTATTGTGCAAACGTGTTAACTGATACCGGGCCTACTATTCTTACTCCACATCTAAAAAGAGAATTAAAAGCTAATTTTATTAAATTAGCCAATATGGGCGAGCGAGTTATTGGATATTGTGGTAATAAATTACCCGTAGAAGCGTATCCACTTGGTTATAAATTTGATGCTCAGAAACGAAACTTTCCCGTCGAAGATTTAACGTTTATTGGTGCAATATCTATGATCGACCCTCCCAGAAAAGATATTCAGAAGTCTATCGCTTTATGTAGACAAGCGGGTATAAGAGTTATGATGGTTACTGGAGATCATCCAGTTACTGCCCTGGCTATATCGCGCCAGTGTGGTACTATAACGCAACCTACAGCTTATGATTATGCTTTTGAGCACCATATTGAATTAGCTGACGTACCTCCTTACATAAAAGATCAATTTAGAGCCGCCGTTATTACTGGTGATGACCTTAGAAAAATGAGTGTTAACGATTTGAGGGCAGCAGCAAATAAATACGACGAAATTACATTCGCTCGGACCAGTCCGCAACAGAAACTTTTTATTGTGGAAACTTTACAGTCTTTGAAACATGTTGTAGCTGTTACCGGAGATGGTGTTAACGATTCCCCAGCACTGAAGAAAGCTGATATTGGTATAGCAATGGGTATCACAGGTACAGAAGTATCTAAGCAAGCTGCTGATATGATTCTTTTGGATGACAATTTTGCATCTATTGTGTTAGGAATAGAAGAAGGAAGACGAATCTTCGATAATTTGAAGAAGACCATCGCTTACACTCTGACATCTAACACCCCTGAAATGTTACCTTTCGTTCTTTACGCAATTTTTGGAATGCCACTGCCTATAACATTGATTTTAATTTTAGTTATTAACGTTGGAACCGATTTGTTGCCCGCAATGAGCTTGGCCTATGAAACCTCTGAAGAGGATATTATGTCGATTCCGCCACGAAAGCCGACGGATCATCTCGTTAATAGAGTGTTAATCTTCATGGCGTATTTTCAGGTAGGATTAATTCAATTCTTCGCAGGGATGTACGCATATTTTACTGTGTTCGCCTCCCATGGATTCTTTCCTTCCAGTTTAATGTTTGTTCGTCGCGATTGGGAATCACCTTCCATTAACGTAAGAGACACGTTAGGACGGGCGTGGTATTATTTTGATCGTAAACGAGTGGAGAAGAAAGCGCAGACTGCTTATTTCGTGGCAGTTTGTTGGACCCAGATATCCGACGTAATTATTTGTAAGACAAGGCGTATTTCAATAATTAAGAAGGGTATGAGAAATCATGTTCTTAACATAAGTATTTTAGTGAATTTGATTGCAGCACTTTTCGTGACTTATTTTCCATTGTGCCACGAAATTTTTAATACCGAACCACTTTTGTGGTATGATTTCTTTTTGGCTTTACCATTCATGGTGTTCATGGTAATTGGTGATGAAGTTAGACGCTACATTATTAGAAACAATATATCTAAATGGGTGGAGAAGGAAACTTACTATTAGTTATTATTTATTACATTTAAGGGTTTAAACAATATTGTTATGCTTTCGTTTACGTTAAAAAATATGTAAATGAATTTCATAGAAAGTTAAATATATTTTGCTGATTATTTATAAGATTGTTTTAATTATAATACTTGATAAAGAACACTTAGTAAGAGCCGTGATAGCTAAGTCTAAGAGGCTTCAACCAACGCCACCGGCATCAATGAAATCCTCACGTGAAATTTTAAGTGCTTTATATTTTTTTATTTAGGTCAATAAAGATTTTGTTTTGGCGGTATCGCAAACAATAAGTAATCTGTTCGGTTTGTTGTATTCATGCCTATGTCAATCGCGCAGTGGCGACGTAAGAATATCCACTGCCCCATATCATTCCGTGGGTGTAAGAGGCGACAGAGTGAAACTGCACTAGAAGATGGGCAGTAGCATCTCTCTGAAAACAAATAATTTAAATAATTTAAATTAAAACATTTTGTACAACCTTCTTCAATATAAATTATTAAGAATAACTCAAAAACTATTAGTCAGACGTTGATCAAATTTATATGGGACCACTCTTATATCCATGTACGTTTGTCACATGAATATTTATTTATAAGTTGTATTATTATTAATTTTTAAAAATTTGACGATGGCTTGTAATAATTAAATTATAGTGATAATAATGTACCGATTGACTAGACTTACATATTACATTATAATTTGAAGAAACTTTTTTTATTTTTGTTAATCTAATGTTATATTGTGTTGTGAATGACGTATCTATGTAAATTGATAAAAAAAATTATATTTTTTGCATCCCTTCTGGTAAAATATGGTGGAATCTATACTATATATTTGTCACCACATTCTGTATCACCCATATTTGCAAAATAAAGAAATTCATTCATTCATTAATTCCACATGAGAAGCACCATATTTCAAATAAAAAAAAGAATTATCGACATCGGTTCATCCAGAAAAAAGTTATGAGGTAACACACATAAAAAAACAGTCAAATCGAGTACCTCCTCCTTTCTGAAGTCAATAGATAAGTGTGGTTGCCAATTCGCTTGCCAAGCGTGGCAACTATGGCAAATATCCTCAGCCGTGGACTTTAGATAGGCTATAAGGGTAAAGTTATGTCCATATTAGCTTTGTCTCAGGAAAAATGCCGTTAATATTAGATGCTCTTTTCTATGAACAATCGTATGTTCTATAATAGAACATGTGCTACCGTTCTCGACACTTCCGTGCGAAAAACAGTAGAATTAGAGGCTGTTATTTTACGCAGGCATTTTGTGTGATTCTTGAAAATCCGACCATTCGTGCTTCGTCATAATACATGCTTTACCATGCACTAAATCTATTTCTTATCTTCAATATCTATACTAATAAATAAAACTGAATTTTCTGTTTGTAATGTAGAAATAACATCTTTTCACTAAATGCATAATATGAAAGTATATACCTATACGGCATTTATAACAAAAAAAAAAAATATTTATTCTCTCCGTTTGTTCTGGCTAATGTCCAAAAAGGCTGTACCGATTTCGACACTTAGGCTACTCTTATTTTAGAAAAACAATTAGGGTGCCGCGCAAAAAAATAAAAACTTTTGAAATCCAACCGTGATAAATTCCACGCGGACGAATTCGCGGGGTACAGCTAGTACCTACTTAATATTATTTTTTAAGTATGAAAATATTTATTTATTTAGATTTAGGGTACGTTTCTTTATTTATTGCATATTGTTTTTTTATTGTTAGATGTTCTAAGCAGCACAGCTTATGAAAGATTTTAAACAATTCTCGAATGATTAGTATCTTTGTGTGAAATAGTAGTGTCCAGGCAATTTGAGTCCTATTCAATAAGAAAACTTTACGAGGTCGATTTGAAACTGCAATATAGAGAAACTAGTATTTGCGACACATTGCACAGGGCAGTCACATACTTGAAGATATCGGTCAGTTCTGACATTTTGGAATTATTGCTGTTTGATACTGCTCTCATAAATAATCCTATATTTCAAGAATTTTATGATTTGCTAGTGGACTTGACTGGCCTACATGAAAAATTGCGACAGTATTAATTCAATATTGAACCTTTACAATTTTAACTGTTCTTTTAATCTATACAAATATATAAAATTGAAATATTTCTCATGTCAAAATTTTTTCCAACAGCTTTTTACTTAATGTATATGAAAGTATATACGGTAGGTACCTACTAATAATAAAAAAAATTAAAATTTTTGTCTGTTTGTTCTGGCTAATCTCCGAAACGGCTGGACCGATTTTGACGGGACTTTCACTGGCAGATAGCTGATATTATAAGGAGTAACTTTAGGGTTCCGTCCAAAATAAATTAAAATCCATCTAATTCAATCGTAATAAATTCCATGCGGGCAAAGACGCAGGGGATAGCTAGTATTCAATAAAGCCGGTATATCTATCGAGTAACTATCGTGTGACTGCGTAAATGATTCTATCATCCCATTTTATCCTCTGGTTGTCCTAAGAGACGCGTCTAAGTTGCAGGCCGGAAAGACCTCATGACTTTCGATAGATACCTAGGAGCGAATATTAAAGAAGTGAAGTCATTTATAGTAAATATTCATTCTCGTTGACTAGTGAAAGGTTTAATGTTCATTCATTCATGTATTTCAGCCTCTCAAAAGTCCACTGCTAAATATAACCTTCCCCCATAAGACGGATATGTTTGCCATAGTTGTTACATTTAGCAGGCAACCGCAGTTTTTATTATTTTCAGTTGTAATCAAGAAGATGCTACTGCCCTATTTTAGTTTCTTCTGTCGCCTTTTACGACATCCACGGAAAGATGAAGGGCAATGGATAAGTGTGGTTGAATGTTTTGCATGCCTTAAGCGCAAAGCGCGTAGGTATGTTCTACTAGCGCCTAAAAATCAAGATTCCAACGTTTTGTCGCATGAAATCGTATCTAACAATCATATTGAACATGTAAATTATATAAAAAGCACATTGTAAAAAAGACAAATTATTGTTGAAGTTATTTTTTTTTAAATTGATTAATTGCTATTTTTACATTCGGGCTCGGCCGCCGTCGAGAGTGGATTACTGTATCGTTTGCTTACAGCAGACGGAATAGGCAGCAAAAATATTGATCGCTGTAGAAATACAAAATATTTCAAAAACCAAAGATACATATTTGACCAAGGTTATTATTTTTATAATCAGAGATTTTTATTACAATATTTTGTTTCGCTTAAAGTACGTAGGATTTATATATAAATATAGGTATACGCCTTGGACTTTATGGTGTAACCTGTAGGTGTACTTCGGTATCTGCTACTGGAACTCCTCGACGAGTAGCACTAGGTGTGCCGAGATTGTGCTCGTTATATTAGTTATAATGAGAACTTACCTCCGTAAAGTGGCGGATTATCCTTAAGGCAAATTAGGCACCTAGGGGTGCACTTCGGTGAATGCTACTGAAACACCTCGAAGAGTAGAACTAGGTGTGCCGATTATGGATTCGTTTTGTTAGTTACGATGAGACCTTACCTCCGGAATTAATAGAGTGACCTGAAGGTATACTTCGGTAAATGCTACTGGAACTACACAATGAGTAAAACTGGATGTGCCGAGTTTGTACTCGTTTAGTTAGTTATGATGAGACTTTACCTCCAGACTTGATAGAGCGACCTGAAGATGTACTTCCGTGAATACTACTGGAACTCATCGAAGAGTAGAACTAGGTGTGTCAAGTTTGGATTTGTTTTGTTAGTTACGATGAGACCTTACCTCCGGAATTAATTGAGTGACCTGAAGGTGTACTTCGGTAAATGCTACTGGAACTACACAATGAGTAGAACTATATGTGCCGAGTTTATACTCGTTTTGTTAGTTATGATGAGGCTTTACCTCCGGACTTGATAGAGTGACCTGAAGATGTACTTCGGTGAATGCTACTGGAACTCTTTGAAAAGTATAACTAGATGTGCCAAGCTTGGCCTCGTTTTGTTAGTTACGATGCGACCTTACCTCCGGAACTGATAGAGTGACCTGAAGGTGTACAGCGGTGAATGCTTTTTGAACTCTTTAAAGATACACCTAAGCGTGCCGAGTTAGACCTCGTTTTGTTAGTTATTATGAGACCTTACCTCCGGACTTGATAGAGTGACCTGAAGGTGTACTTCAGTGAATGCTAGTGGAACTCCTCAAAGAGTAGAACTAGGTGTGCCTAGTTTGGCCGCGTTTTACTAACTAACATAACGAGTACAATTTCGGCACACCTAGTTCTACTCGTCGACTAGTTCCAGTAGCAGATATCGAAGTACACCTTCAGGTCATTCCATTAAGTGCAAGACGTATAAGTATATGTATAAATCCTGCGTACTTTTAGCGAAACAAAATATCGTAATAAAAATCTGTGATTATAAAAATAATAACCTTGGTCAAGTACGTATCAAATTTGGTTTTGCAATGTTTTGTATTTCTACAGCGATCGATATTTTTGCGGCCTATTACGACGGAAGTCGAGCCCGAAGTGCGAGTGAGCTGTGAGGCAAAGTGTTTTAATATAATAAATTATTACACGGCTAGGCGAAACACCGATAATTTCGGGATTTCTCAGCCGAAAAAATTAATTATAACTAAACAAAACAAAATTAAATTGCCGTTTACATTCCATGGCTCCCCGCATGATAGATTAAGAGATTAAAATATAGACAGTTAAACAATGGATATTTTCAAAAGTTATCGTGTTTACCCCTCCACGGAGACTTGATAAATCTACTCCATAAGCAACCAAGACCACTTTTTTATGTAAAAATAGCAATTAATCAATAAAAAAAATTTAGGTCAACAACCATTTATCTTTCTGACAATGTGCTTTTTATATTATCATCTTTATATATAAAAATAACGTGTCACATTGTTTGTCCGCAATGAACTCCTAAACTACTGAACTGATTTCAATGAAATTTTGCACACTGTGTGCAGTTTGGTCCAACTTGAGAGATAGGATAGTTTTTATCC